CCTGAAAAGTGTTAGTTGCTTCATCTGTGCTCCTAATATGTTAGGCAGCAACTTGCATCTCTCATTGGGTATACTGTATAAGCTCCTCCACTGATTTGAATTATTGGACCTCCTTTCTTGAAGCATTTTGCAACATTCATAGCTCCCATCTGGAACTGATTTATTTTATGTGCCCATGAGGCAGTGACGCCTCACTTATTCATAGCCTAATGACTGATCTTAATAACATACCAGTTTAGATAGTCAATAATTTATCCAGTCTTCAGAAGATTTGATGAATGAGCTCATGATCTGAGTTGACAGCCTGTGATACCCCTTAGAAAATGGCTTCAAGATGATTGTAAAAGTAGCACATAGATTTCACATTTTGCTGGATCTGCTGGAATACTTCGTGATTATAACATGGTGATAAACAATAATCATTCAGTAATTCCTAATGGTGTACTGTGTAACGGTTAAAAACGTCCCAGCTTTTGATCACTGTCTTCCCTTTGGATTGGCGGATGGACGCCAAAAGATTGTCTGATATAAGGTCCCCTTATAGTAATTGTTTCAACTCATCATACTCACCAATTCAACCTCAGATTTAAGGAAATTCAAAAATGAGAAAAAATGAAACAGGTAATCAAGGATTTCAGCCTCAAAATCAGTCTAATTTTTTAATGAGATAAACATGCAAACGTTTTCAAATCCCAATAAAATGGCACCACAAGAGACACAAGAAAAAAACTTCCAGATTAAAAAACCCTAGAAGATTTCGCTTCCAATCAATGCCCAGAGCCAACATCTTTGTTTAGGTACAAAAACTAGGCTCACTGCAGGATACCAGGTAAGACATGGCAAGGGCGGCTTCAAGGCCTCAGAGAGACTCACACGTGAACAGGAAATGAGAAAGAATTCTGAACTGAGTTGAAAATCATTTGGGCTTGACTTACTAAGGTGCTCTTCCGGGGAGCCCCTCCACACTATTCTTTAAGCCCTTAGGGGCCTAAAGAATAGCTTGGGCGGGTCATAGCCCAGCGTTGGACCCCGCATAAACTGCAAAATAGCTAAAAACGCATTTCAACTCAATATTTGGATTTCCAAATCTTGAGTCAAAATATAACAATTGGTTTGACTCAACCATTACAGGCTGCAGGTATCACATAATATTGCCCCTAGACGTACAATGCTACTCATGAAGGACAAAACTTGATTGAAAATCATTCCACATAATCCCTCATAGTCTTTCTATAGTTGGTCTTGGTTTTGTCATTTGTAAAATAAGAAAGGTATAAGGTCATCTGACTCACAACTAATAACTGGAATCCTCTTAGCAGCAATTGCCCAATCTGCTGTAGATACTTCTCAGGAAAGGTATATAAAGTGAATCCTTCATAATGGATAGATTAATTACATCCTACTTTGGTGCAAGTCAGATGAGAAGGTCTATGTGGGTTGACATAAACTACAAGATCTTTTTTGTTGTTGTAGTCGGTTTGACCAACCATCTGGTTTCATTTTTATGTATCTAATTTCATACATTGACTAATAATTAGCAGATTCAATTGGCTCATGGTAATTGTTTTGTGCCGCAATCCCTGTTTTTATATGTAGTTGCCTACTGGATTAATTTACTATTAGTCAAATCCTTAATCCCCGCTGGCGCATTTATTGTTCACTTGAATTAATAGCCATTGATGCCATGGTCTCAAATACTTTTTGTTACCAAGTTTATTTTGGCATACAATTATATATTGCCCAGTGCTAGCGTAAAACATTGGTAATAGGGCCTTTCTATTTATTATGGCTACTCAGATTAATTTAGATATGTCCATCATATAACATATTTTTATGGAAATGCTCTGAGTCCTATTTTTTCTCTTCATTAGGCCCAATCTAAATATCAAGACCTTAGGCTACCATAGTTAAAGTGCTGCTTAGTAACCATGGAAAGCATAATTGAAAACGCTGGTAGAGATCATATCTGGGGAGGATTGCCAATTGTAAGGGGTCTTTTCCTAATGGAAGATGGGAGAGCCTAACTAAAGGAATTACTTTTTGTGAACCAGTGAGCCTCTGGCAGCATTCAATACTATAGGGTGCTCACTTATTTCAGAGATAAAATCCTATTTCATCATATAAGGTTTTTGTGAGTTTTTTGATCAAGGTTACTGTCCTCAAAATAGTAACTTATGGTTGTGCATGTACCCTGTGCACAAGAAATATGGTGACCCTGCATAATTTCAACATTTGTTATACTGATTGAATTCTTCTCCAGTGGGAAAAATCATTTTGCTGGTGTTGGGTTTTTTGACCATATTCCCAACTGGCTAGATTACCAGGAATTGCTAGGGGATAATTCCCTAATGCAAGGTGAATTGGAAATTGGTTGACCCTGATTTTGGGGTAACTAAGTTTGGGGGATTTTAGGTTATTCATCTGATCAGATCTTTCAGGGGATTGATCCAGATGAATGGTAAGATCTTGTCAGGCAAAATTGCTGAAAAAATAGGGACATCTGATAGTTGATTAACTATCAGGTGTACTAATTGGTGTTGGTTGGGTTTCGTCACTGAATGTTTGGTGATGTAAGTAGTAAGTTGTGAGGCGATTAATGCCACCTGCAACTAGCAAATCAATCAGTTTTTTTGTGACCTGCCCTAATGGGTAACAAGTCCCATTACCTAAGCAGATCGCTTGCCACATAGGCTGGTTTACTTAGATAAAGAGGAAAACGTTAGGGACACATTTTCTGACTCTTTCCATTATAGGTCTCAAGGATGTCTAATGACAGAATTCTAGCCAGGATGGGAAAGACCATCGCTGCTGAGACAAGGATGGGTGATTCAATGGTAATGGCTGCCGTTTCATTGAAGAGGTGTCAACCAAGGGTTAGGCGCCAAATCCCCCACTATAATTTCCCTAGAATTTACTAATAAAAAAACACAACAGAGTATACAGTAGATATACTAGCTTAGTACACTTTATCAGCTTTCATTTTTCTATTCTTTCTCAGGGATATTATTGCTGTGTGCAATAATTGGGAGACTCTTTAAGGAAAAGGGTAAGGATCTGAGTGGAGATCTAGAGAAGAAGCGGAAGCAAATCAGGGATTGCTGCTGATTGTATGTTAAACTGATAAACCGTCAACAAGAATCTAAGAGAAGGTCAGGTTAGATGGTATGAGGGAACAAATCCCTATTTTGAGACATCACAAGTACTTTGAGCAGAAATACTGGCCGATTATTGGGCTGAGATCTAGGACTTCCATTCAACTACAGATAATAGTCATCACACTATTATCAACTGATTATATAAAAAATATACAACGTGGATGAATTACACAAAATCCAAACCTGTGCAAGTAATATGTTTATAGGAGTTATTGGCTGATAATAATCAATCCCCATAAATTTTTACATCTGGTAAAAGGCTAATTGAACAGGGTTCCCCTGTATTGAGAACCACAATTTAGAGCGTGAGATAAGCACTCTACTTTCACAGATATATTCTATCCTGGAACTCCATTTATCCTACACAATTGTAACACATCTGTTTCATGGCAAGGTAAATTCCACATAATATTGTACAGTGAACTATACAATATTCAATATCTCTTTGGTTCTTTAGATAGTAAAACTCTACTTCAAGAGTGGATTCCAGTGAAATAAAATAAAAGTGGGCAGATGATACTTTATATGGATATAAAGAGAGGATTCAATAGATTCACTAGCTATAGAGCACTAAAGTCTCCATGCTAGAATTATAATTGTTGTGGAAGTACAATTGGCACATTGTGTACAATTAGTATAGTAAGTATATCTGTGCCCATCTAAAGGAAAAGGTTTTAGAGGGTAGAAATTGCTGCATGACAATTCTGGAATGAATAGAGGACCTTAAAAGTAAGATGAATCATTAAATAATTCTAGTGTAAGTCCAATTGCATTCATTTTTCATTCTAACCTTATAAGTTAATAAAGTGAATCAAAAGTTGAGTTGACACCTTTGCCAACATTCTTACTTCCTAAAAGATCAGAAGAAGATGTGGGAGTATAATCATCATCCCTTACTTCACCCTAGTTCTAGAGCACATGTATGGAAGTGCCTTACACAGTAATATTAAACTGCATATAGATCAAACGCCTCTGCCCACATTTACCCTCTTTGTGGTGACCATAATACTTTAGTTATAGGATAGAGGGGTGTCCCAAATACAAGCTAATCTGGATAGGAGTTTCTCATCTTTTCCAGCTTCCTACACCTAGTACATTCTATCCTACCTACAATTTATTTGCCATGAGGGTACTTTCCCTAATTTCCACATTTATCAGAGCCTAGATAGCAGCCACAGCACTGTGGCCCATCTATAAAATTGTTTTGAAAGCTATCAACAAGGCTTCCCACCAAGGTTGAAGCACTGGTGTGATTCTATAATCATTTAGCTTGCAGTTTCCAGTATTTTTTTAGTACTAGATGGTGCAGTTTTACAGTATTGGTTCTTTAGATCCATGCCACATAGATGGCACCACTGAGATCCAGTCATGGAGGAATATCTGGTTCCTGGAAGTTGACTTCTGTTCCCATACATGTAAAATTAGAACATTACCCTAAGACTATCTATCCTTGTCCCCCTTGTCTTAAACCCCTACCCCTGATTATAGAAAGGGTGTCAGATAGACTACTATCTGGGAATTAAGGGCTCCCGTTCATGTTCTCTCATCCTCTTTTTTTGATCTCTTCTTTTTGGTAGTGTTGGTCCCATGGTCCTCTCACCTCAAATAAACACCTTATATAGTAACGAACAGGAGAATTAATAAATGTGGGTGAAGCTGAAATTACCTATTAGTTATTAATATAAAAGATCACTTAATGCCTATAAATAAAAAAAGAAGCATGGAATTAACCAAATGTAAAAGCTAAACATATTTGAAATGAAGTCTTACTTTTACTTTAAATAAAAAAATTGAAATAATAACTAAAATGTAGAAATAATAACTTTAAGAATTATTTATTATAAAGGGCTCAACCGGGAATAGAAACCAGGACTTCTCCCACCCTTAGGGAGAATTATACCACTAAACCATTAAGCCTTGATTTTTAGAAATTTATTAATTAATTAATTTAAAAAAATACCGGTAGCAGGAACCACCCACATGCCAACTACCCCAACTTCCTTTTTTTATAACTCCATATTATCGATTAATGATAAGAGGGGAGGGAGGAAACAATATCTCATCATAACCAGAAATGTTTTTACACCTGTAATAACGTTTAGTCCCCACCTTATCTTGTGATTATAGGTGTGCACACCTACAACTGATTTAATATTTTAAATTAAACATATGATATAAGTATTATACCATTTTATTTATACTTATAGGATGGTACTTCTATGAGATAAGCAGATTCCTTTTGAGCATATGATATTCATATACCAGTAAAAGCAAGTTTTTAAATTTTATTTGAGGTGGGCTGACCTGGGGACAATACTGCATTGATTAAGGGTATTAAAGAAATGGGAAAGGAGGAAAAACCCAGAAAACATCTATGCGCAGTGTATGATAGACCAGGAACTCCATGGACCACCTTGCAATTTGCTATCTTGGTTCTGAGCATTGTATCACAGTATCAACACAGTCATAATTGTTCCTTACCTAAAGTAAAAGCAATTTTGCTAAATTAAAGTTAAAATAAAGTTAATTAGTGAAAGACATATATGCTCACTATAAGATATAATGATACTATAATCTATTTTCATATGTTTTGGAACTAAATTATATATATATATATATTTGTTGCTTATTAATTTCACTCAAAAAGACTTTATATTTTCCATAACATATGCTAACTATGGTAAATATTATAATATAGTGTAATAATATTATATTAGTATATAAAAATTAAAAAAATCTTAATTTGAAGTAAATTACTAGTATCTGATATACTGTGCTGTTCTATACATTGGCTAATGAGACCAAATCATTAGCAAAGAACCAAATAAAGCCAAACATTATGTGATTATGTATACAAAGAACCACATATAGGAAACCAATTTAGAATACTATATTAATAAGAAGTGTTGCAAGATAGTATTCATATCAAGGGTTGCTAAAGTAATTTTAATTGCAAAACCATTATAACTGGGACAATGTATGGGTTTACATTACTACACCTTTATAAAATGACTTTAACCTAAACATATAAATATAAGAAATTAGACTTGTATATAAGTTTGGGATCTTTTAAGTATCTTCTTTCATATAAGTTGTTGTTTGTATGATTTATTTAACTGAGGTAAGCCAACCAGGGGGCGGACATTACCAAATATACGTAAAACTAAGGAAATAACTGACAAATATAAAATTGGGCACCTCAATGTACTCAAGTTACCCCAGTTGCCAGCGGGACTGCCAGGTATGGGGGGTTGGTGCACTACTCCGAGGGGGTTTCCCCTGCTATGGAGCAGGTGTGAAGGAAAGGGTCTGTGTGGAGGAACCTGAGTGGGAACCATGATTCTATGAGCGCTTTTTGCCTTGGTCTCATATATCCATAGAGCCAGGCTTGGAAGTGCTCCAATAAGTGGACATGGAATCTGTTAATAACCCCATTAATGGTTGGGACCGTGCCCTTGAACACATCTAATGCAATTGTGTGGATTGTCCACATTGCAATGCGTATTATTAGGGAACGGAGGGTAGATGGGATTGGTGACTCAATCTGGAGCGCGAAGATGCTCTTTGATATCAAGAGTTCATGTTCGTTTTGGATTTTAAGCAGGCGTGCGACTTCCTGCCATATAGCTTTGGTTGGGGGGCATGTTTCTAGGCGGTGATGTAGGGATCCCTCCCCTCCACATACTGCACATGTCTTGTGGAAGGAGTTGGAATGGTCCACCATCCTATAGGTCCTTTTCAGACAGCGCCAGGAGTTTGCTCTTATCCTAAGCTGTAGGAGTGGGTGATGAGTCATTTTCCACATTGCCTTCTGTGTGGTTAAATCATAGGGAATGTCCAACATATCTAGGTATTCTATCCTAGCTATGCTTGGGGTTGTTGCGAGCATATCTCTCTGGGGGTGGTTTTCTGGGTTTCTTAATTTGAATTGGGGGCTGGGTCATCCCCTTCCCTGTATAGTACCCATGTTCTCTATGTTCCATCCCATACGGCGGATAGTTTGGAGGATATTTTTGAAATGAGGGGAGGTTTCATGAGGACCTGTTGCAGTAGGGTGCTTGGCAAGGTATGAAAGTAGTCTGGGTGGACTATGTGGGTTAATTTAATTTGAGCGCCTGTGCAAAGATATTCCTTGCTGCTCTGGACCAATGTTGTTGCGGGAGGTCTGGAGCAAGGACTTCCATTATCCAAGTACCTAGGATGTGATGGGCGTGGCTCTCAAAATCTATTAGTCCCATGCCTCCGCTTGAGCGTGGGCCAAATAGTGTTTCCATACGTATAGGAGGGTGAGAGCTGGGCCACAGCCAGCCATGGATAAGCGCGCGGATTGAAGTTATAAAGGTAGGTGAGAAGGCGATTGCGTGGGCCTGGTACCATAGTATTGGGAGGATGAGCGAGTTAGCAACTGTAACTCGTCCTGTTAATCCTGGGGTTCTTCCCTTGAGGGAGGCGATGCGTTTGGATACCCGTTGTAACAAGTTACTTTCCATTGTCTCATTAGCATATCCCCCTGATTCTAGCCAAATTCCAAGGTTTCAGAAAGTAGTGGTGGTGGGAGGTGATGCAAAGGGTAAAATGATTGGGTTTTTTCTTCATGAGTTGGTATGAGGTTTTGATGTTGTGGCCCAGTTGTTTGTGTATTTGCCTAAGAGGATGATTTCTGTCTTTCTTTTGTTGAGCAATGCATTGCCCACCTTGTTGTATTCTTCTAGAGTGCGTTCCAGCTGTCGGGCATCTTCATTGTTTGCTATACCTGCTATGCAGTCATCCGCAAAGGCCAGTATCTTGACTGTTGGTTGTCCTTGTGCAGTTATCCCCATGAGATGTGAGTCATTTACTCAGAGGAGTGGGTCAAAGCTGAAATTGTATAGCAGTGGGCTGAGGGGATCCCCTTGTTTAAGCCCTCTGTGTGGTTTAATCTTGTTTGTTAGGAATACAGGGCCGCATACAGCCATGGTTGCAGATTATGTTAGGAGCATCACCCATTTTATGAATCTTGGTGGGATTTTGAAGGCATGTAGACATTCTTTTAGGTATGGCCAGCTAACACGGTCATACGCCTTTTCCTGATCCAAGAAGACCAGGACACCAGTTGGTTTGGATTGGCAAATGTTTGCAACAGGGTGAATGTTGTTCCAGATTGAACGCCCTGGTATAAACCCAAACTGGTTGGGTGATAGGACGTCAGATGCAATTGCGCCTAATCTAGCTGTTAAAATTTTTCTTAGAATTTTTGTGTCAGTGTTGGAGAGTGCAATTGGGCGCCAGTTGTCCAGGTCCAACTTGTCACCCTTTTTATAAAAGATTATAACGTAGGATTCATGGCCTCCTGGTAATAGGCGTGTTTCCAACAAGCTCTGGTTCATAGACGCCAATAGGAGGGGGGCGATTTGTTGAAAATATTTTTATAAAATTCGTAGGGTATCCCATCAGTCCCAGGGCATTTCCTACATGGTGCACCGCGAATTTTCTCCCAAAGCTCCTCCCGTGTAATTAGGGATAGTATGTTGTAATTTGGTGGTGTACTTTGTATCTCAGCAGTTTGTATAAATTTTTTAATTTTTTGTGAATCTGTTGGAATTTCACGATATAATTTGGTATAATAGCAGTGTACTTCCGCCTTGACCTCCTCAGGGTCAGTTGCCACGGTGCCGTTGGTCTTGCAGACCTGTGTGCATGCGGGCTGGTTTCCATGGGAGTGGAATTGGCAGAAAAAGTATGTTGAACAGGTTTCGCCTTTCTTTTATAAATTTATCTTTGTTTGATACTTTGATTCTGTGTTGGTGTTTGAAGATGAGATTGTTAAGTCAGGAAGAAATTTCTGCCCATTTGCATCCCCAGTTGGGGCTATAGCCAGATCTCAGAGTATTTATTTCCAGGTGGTCTAGTTCTGCTAAGGTATGCTTGATTGTGGCTGTGTCTGCGGTGTACTTGCATGATGCAATATGTCAGGTTTTGTTGATTAAATCTTTTTTGAAATTTCCTATGTTCTGATGGGATCTGAAGTGAATGGGGCTGTGAATTCTGGGTTTGTAGCCTTGTTTTCAACTCAGTTGGATATCTCGGGAAATTTTATATTTTCTAGGTGAAGCTTTCTCCAAGGCGACACCTGTGTGTGGGATTGGGTTGGCACTAACTGCACCATAACCAATTGGTGGTCAGAAAAATTGATCTTTTTTGTTGTAAATTTGGAGATTCTTGAGCGGTGGGATTGTGGGATGAGGATGTGGTCAATGTGACTCATCAATATGAGTGCTCCCTCGCATATGTTGGGCCGCGTCATGTGGGGAAGGAGTGGTGAACTGGGTGAAGAGTATCCTGTAAGCCAAGAGATGCCTTCATTGTTTGGAATTCAATGTGTCCAGGTGGGTATCCCCTGGGATTAGGCCACTGATCTGTATTGGGGTTATCCCAGCAGTTGAAATTGCCTAACATAATGGTATCTGGTGGGAGGGTGAGAGTAGGAATGTTTTCAAAAAATTGTTTTCTCTCAGTTGCAGTGCATGGTGCATAGATACATGCCATCAAAATTATTTCCTCTTGGCATGTGATTGTTGCTACCAGGACTCAACCATGCAAGTGTGATGACAAATTTGTAATTTTAAGTTTTTTGTTGTTTCAGATGATCACCCCACAGTGAGACATCCATACTGATTGTGATGATGCGACCCTGGTTGACCAGGATCCTTCTTCCCCTTGTAGACAGTGGGTTTCTTGGATGGCCAAGATATCTACAAGAGGTTTTTGCAGGAATTCCAGCTTTTTGACTTGGGATGTATGAGCTCTGGCTCCCACGATGTTTAGTGTCCCTATTGACACTGAGGTGCCCGCGGTGCCTCAGGAGTGGTTGGGAGGGCCCTCTGGCCCTAACCCACCGCGACTCATTTTGGCCATGTTCCATATCTGTACTCCAACTC